CCCCCCCCCCCCCCCTATTCCCCACACCTTTCTCCTGTAACCAATTAATTAATGTATAAAATCGTGAAGCATGAAAGTATTGTATTTGAAAGATAATTCATTAATTATGATATTTTACTGATATTTACAGTACCCGATGTTGCATATTTAAAGAGAATCAAACTTGCAAACAGACTCTTTGTACATATTAGAATTACCCCCCTCCCTATTAAAATGATAGAGAATTTACAGTATGCGTGGTCTGAGAAATTACGGTATGCGTGAATGTTTAGGATTATGATAATATTTAAAGCCTGAAAACAGATTCGCTTGCAAACGTCATGCAATCGCTGTAGTATAAAATAAGTTAAATAACAAAAAAAATGAATAAGTTGTTATTGTAATGTTGGCTTGGAAGTGCTCCTGGCCAGGGCTCGACACGGTAAATTGCTCAGAATGTTTGGAAAAAACCATTAAAATGCACAAACATAAATATATCATATTTTTAAAACACTCCGACGTCATCTTGTTTCAGTTCAGCCCTTCTTTCGCACATTTCATAATTTTTTTCTTGTCCAGGTTTCTCCAGTTCTGGATTGAGATCAGTTTTTGTTATCTGCGCGTGCGCATTAAGTGTTTTGTGATCAAGCGCATGCGTATTTACAACACAACAATGGCGGTTCACGGATTTCGAAATACGACGAAACATGAACTTTGGAGTGGTTGTACTTCAATTTGTGCAACTATTTCGCTTGGGGAGAAGTGGATTCTAACTAAGTAAGTTATATTCTATCCATTCATGTAAAAATTATGTATTTACACGAGGGGTGCTACGGAACCTGTTTTCTAAGCATATTTTCGACCCTCATCTCACACCCGATTAGCGCGTTTGACGCCGGCTGACAGCCGGAAATTTTGTCTCCGATTGCTCGGCTGCCAGCCGGGCTGTACTATAGTATATTATTCGTTCAAAAAATGCGGGCATTTTGGAGACTGGTTCTAGAATGTTTCATAAGCAGAAAACCACCAAAATTACATTAAATTTTCCGAAAATCATCGAAATGCATCTAAATTCATCTTCCCAATGCATATAGCTAGTTATGCGACAGGTAAATAAACGAGAAAAAAAAACAATTTCGGCAAAAAGAAAAATTCAAATTCGTTTGCGCGCATTCCGGGACCGAACTCACGACCTTCAGCACACACGCTGGGTCTTGTCCCTCTGCGCCACCACGTCTTACGCGGAAAATATGTTAATTTATTGTATATATACAGGTTATTCTTAGCCAGCGCGATTAAAGATTGCGTAAATACGTACACCATCGTACACGGCCAATGGTACAGTAGCAGCCGAGCCGTATCTACACTTTAATACAATACTTACAATACATCGCGGCATAGATCACGGCTTCCAGCCGGGGTTATTTAACTGTAATACAATACTACCATGCAATACGAGTGTCAGCCATGCCTGTCGGTAGTATACTGTAGTATACTACGATACTTCACGGCTACCAGCCGACAATACGGCTATCAGCCGGGCCTATCTGTAGTATACTATAGTATACTACAATACATCGCGGGTACCAGCCGACATACGGCTATCAGCCGGGCGTGTCTGTAGTATACTATAGTATATTACAGACAGGCCCGGCTGATAGCCGTATTGCCGGCTGGTAGCCGCGATGTATTGTAGTATACTACAGTATACTACCGACAGGCTCGGCTGACACTCATATTGCATTGTAGTATTTTATTACAGTTAAATAACCCCGGCTGGTAGCCGTGATGTATTGTAGTATACTATAGTATACTAGAGACAGGCCCGGCTGATAGCCGTATTGTCGGCTGGTAGCCGTGAAGTATCGTAGTATACTACAGTATACTACCAACAGGCATGGCTGACACTCGTATTGCATGGTAGTATTGTATTACAGTTAAATAACCCCGGCTGGAAGCCGTGATCTATGCCGCGATGTATTGTAAGTATTGTATTAAAGTGTATATACGGCTCGGCTGCTACTGTACCCTTGGCCGTGTACGATGGTGTACGTATTTACGCAATCTTTAATCGCGCTGGCTAAGAATAACCTGTATATATACAATAAATTAACATATTTTCCGTGTAAGACGTGGTGGCGCAGAGGGACAAGACTCAGCGTGTCTGCTGAAGGTCGTGAGTTCGGTCCCGGAATGCGCGCAAACGAATTTGAATTTTTCTTTTTGCCGAAATAGTTTTTTTTTCTCGTTTATTTACCTGTCGCATAGTTAGCTATATGCATTGGGAAGATGAATTTAGATGCATTTCGATGATTTTCGGAAAATTTAATGTAATTTTGGTGGTTTTCTGCTTATGAAACATTCTAGAACCAGTCTCCGAAATGAGCGCATTTTTTGAACGAACAGTATACTATAGTACAGCCCGGCTGGCAGCCGAGCAATCGGAGACAAAATTTCCGGCTGTCAGCCGGCGTCAAACGCGCTAATCGGGTGCATCTCACGGCCTATTGAGATGTAATATGTCTTGTGTAATATGTTCAAATTTGTCCTGAGTTTATGTTAAATATTACGATAATACAGTCCATTGAAGTTTTTATAACATGGTCCTTTGAGAGCCGGATTACCGGCAATTCTAAATATATTATCACGGAGAATATTGGATTTGAGCCTGTGGTTTATTCAAAACATTTCGAGTTGGAGTCTGGAATTTGAACAAAATTTGAGCAGTAACGTGAGATCTACACTAGTTAGTGGGGAATTTACTTTTATAATCTTGGAGATACGAGCCTGGAGAACTTCTGTTGTTAAAAGATTTAAGGTTATTGGAGTTATTCTTATATAAATTTTCTGGTTATTTGTGGATTTTGGACGAATATTGTCTCTGTATTTAAACGTTGTTAGTATAAATATGAGCACGGATTTATCGAGGAAGAAAAAGTTAAGAGGGGCTCATCGAGCGTCCGCCACACGACTTCAAAAGACGGTGAGTGAAGTACTTGTTTCTTTTGACCCAAATAATCTGGAAGAAATTGTGCCCAAACTGAATCAACTTAAAACTAGCATGAAAGAAAAACTTGAAACTTTAAAGGTCCTTGGTGAGGAAATTCTTGAACTAGTTGATGAAGCTAATATTGAAGAAGAAATAGAACAGTGCGATATTTGTAGAGAAGGCTTACAGTTGGCTTTAGAAAATGTAGAAAGAGCACTTAATACCTCCAGCATGTCTAGTTTAGCTGTGTTATCGAGTGTGACTGTAAATACAACAAGTAACACCCCACCAGTACCCAGTCAAGCCTCCACATCACCTCAAGGTTCTAGTGCTAGCACTGCAAGCACGTCGTTACTACAGAATCAATATTCAAGTCAGCTTGATACATCAAATGAAAATGGAATGCCAAATTTGGGTCAGCCTTCTATGTCAACTGTGAATCAACCCCAACCAGTAGAGCATCCTACCATACCACCTGCATCACCCGATAACCCTGGGGGGCATCCAGCTGTCCAACCAATCAATCATGTAGCACAAGTAAAATTGCCAAAATTAATCCTTAAAAGGTTTTCTGGGGATCCTAGTCAATGGAACCCATTCTGGGATACATTTGAAGCCTCTATCCACAACAATCCCTCCTTAGCACCGATTGATAAATTCAATTATCTCAAGTCTTTCATGGATGGAGCTGCTGCTGAATCCATTGCTGGATTGTCTTTAACAACTAATGCTAATTATGAAGAGGCAATTGTTATTTTGAAATCAAGGTTTGGGAACAAACAGCAAATTATAAATCGACATATGGCTATTCTGTTAAATCTTCCATCAGTTAATTCTGAAAACAACCTGAAGGGCTTGCGCCAACTTCATGATACGGTGCAATCACACATTAGAAGCTTGAAATCTATGGGAGTAGCCCCTGAATCGTATGGTAGCCTTCTTTCTTCAATGTTAATTTCCAAGCTACCAACAAATCTACAGCTGGTTGTTAGCAGAGTGGTTAAGGAAAACGAATGGAATTTGGACAAACTATTAAATACCTTGCAGCAAGAGTTAGAAGCCAGGGAGAGAATTAAGGTACCTGCAACCAACAAGGATTTTAAGAAATATCACGGTTCAGCCTCAGCATTGATGGCCGGTAATAATCCAAGTTGTACTTACTGCAGGGGGCCTTACCCATCAAAGGACTGTACAACTGTGACTAGTCCTGCTGCTCGTCAAGATATTTTACGGAAGACGGGGAGATGTTTTGTGTGCCTAAGAAAGGATCATATCAGTCCAAGTTGCAAGTCAACAACACGGTGCTACTCGTGTAAGGGGCGACATCATGTTAGCATATGTAAGGGTACGAAGCCACCTCCACCACCTCCTAGGGACCCTCCTGAGGAACATGGGCAAAGCGGATCCAACAAGTCAAAGGAAAGTCCTAGTTTTGGAACCCATCCTGACGCAACTGTCTGTCACACGACCTCATCGAACTGTGTCCTTCTCCAAACCGCAAGAGCAAATTTATATAACCCAGATAATCCTAATGGTCCCAAGGTCAAAGCGAGACTAATCCTGGATGGCGGCAGTCAGTGCTCGTACGTCAGCAGAGCACTGACGGGAACTCTCGGTCAACCTCGTACCCAGGGCTAGTCGCGAATTGAAGGCGGCGACGTAGCCCTGGTAAACGCTGGTCACGTGTCAGGCAAATACTCCAAGATTCTTGGAGTATTAGCCTGCGAGCGGGCTTTGTGGAAATAAAGACGGGGGCGACGAAAAGTTCACGAATGGAACTTGAATTGCCGCGGATTATTTATATTCTTTTATTTTTTGTTGTAATCTTTCTTCTTAATATGTTACGTTTATATATTACGTCGAATGTACATCTTCTTTTATGTAAATCGCCGAGGAGGCGATGTTTCGAATTTCGAAGCAGTGAAAATGGAGCCATTCTCGTACCTACTATTTGTGATGATTTCCATCAAGTATAAAATGTTTAGAAGTATTTCATTGTTACAAATTATTTAGCAGATTCCCATTATTTGTTACATTGTCTAGCTCTATGAAATATATATTTCGAAGGCTATTTACTGTAATATATTTTATACAGTATGTTAATATAGTCAGCTGAATTTGTACAATTGTAGTTAAATATTGTGAATATTGAGAAACACATGGCCAGACTATGGCCTATAATACTATACTCGGACTCTCAAGTAAAGTTCTACTCTCACATGATTATTATTTACAATATTGATTTATCGCTGTGAGAAACGTGTTTACACTTTAATACAGTATTATTAAACTACATTTTACAGCAGTATTAACTTCAAATACTTTGTATTTATATTTACAGTAATGACCTGAAATTATTTAAATGAGCCATTACTGTAATAACAGAGTGGCCAGGTTAACAAAGCTAAAATCTGATGAACCTAACCTGCTAGGATATTTCAATAGTCAAACATCAGTTTCAGCACTCCAGCTGATCAGGGATTTTTTAGGGAAAAGTTTTAGCACCTCATTGTAAAACCTGCCTCCAAATCTCAAAATTTCATTATTTTGTTCCCTTGCCCCTATAATCTATATTTATACCTTTTGTGCCCTTGAGATCTTTAAAAAAAATGCCTAACTCTGCAGTATGACGTGTAACCTTGTTGCGATATTTATTTTTTGACTTCAGACTTCAATAAATTTCTACTCTAATACCTGACAGAGATGGGGTCCATATGTATGAACAATAAGAAATGATTTCTTCATCTATTATTGACCCATTACCTTTCACCCAATTTTAAAATTAAATTTACTGAATGATTTTGAAGTTTTCTAGATTATTGAAAAGAACTTTATGGGTACAAGAAATGGGGCAAAAACAGTTGAATTAAGCAAGATGCAAGTAACAATGAACAAGACCGGGTCACTGGATGGTATTTCAGCACACTGGTGGACATGCAACCTAATACCTGCAACCTGTGTGACATTTGTTTATATAGTTTTACACTGTACTGGAAAAACAATGTCAAGGAACTTGTAGAGATTCAGAATGCACACTTCATGGTTTATTCAATCACCAGCATGCATGAATCATTTTATGTTATGAATTAACTTTTTTTTAAAAATTATTCTCACTTTATAGATAAAATTATATCAATTTTTAATATCATAAATGAATATATAGTAGCTTTTGATTAAACAAGTTATAATAAATAATATATCAGCAAATAATGACTGGTCTCTCTGAAATCCATATAGAAAGGTTCAAATTTGACTTCCACTACCACTACTTGATCTGGCAGTTGCATCTGATTGTTTGATTGGATAAATGAAACTTATCTGGTTAATAGTTAATGTCTTAATGATAGCAATAGCAGTAGTGGAAGTCAAATCTGATCTCTCTATTATTTTTTGAAGGTTTGCTCTAGTCACGTCAATTCAGGGTTGCCCATGCAACTTGGTTAGCACAGCTAGCTCTTCAAGTTGGAGGTCCAATTCTTAGGATTCTGCAAATTAATTCTAGAAAACTGGCTTTGGTATGGGCTAAGCAAAAATCATCACACTGTTTATCATGCTGATTTGGTTGTTTAACAGTTAAAGTCCAGGCTGCATGTTCTTTTATCCTGCATATGGCAGATGGGACAGTCTGGTTTCCAAGTGTTTATGTGGGGAATTAATATTAGTCAGGACTGGCTTCTGAGTGAAAGTCTTGCCTGCTTTATGTGAGAGCAGACTCTGTGCGAGATTCCAATTGCTACACAGCATGATCTCAGTGCTCTTCCTCTGAAACAATGCTTGTTTGCGATATCATCCAGCAAGTGCAAAAATGCACTACCACGGTCAAGGATCATTTGGCATGTTCATCGACTATGTTAACCCGTTGAGTGGCGCCATGCACTCTCCACCTGATGAGTAAAATTGTCTGGTGTTAGGCAGAGTAAACTAACAGAGTAGGGTGCATTGGGCCATTCCATTTAATGTATACACCCCCCTATGGACGAGTTCAATAAAATTTGAACCCCTAAGAAGAAAAAAATCAAAGTGCCGACACCAACACCCCCCCCCCCAGAAATTAAGAAATTTTTGCCTTATCCCTCAGAAAAAATGCAAAGATCAAAGGATGCTGATGCACACAACCCCTCAGAAATGGCTTTTTCAATCCCCTCAGAAATTCTAGTCCATAGGGGGGGGTGGGTGTATATCAAATGGATGGCCCATTGCCACTTAAAGGGTTAAAAACGTAAATACCACAGCACAACACTTGTACATATACATATACAAGTAATACAACAGCAATCCTTTTATATATATTTAATAGTCATATTTACATATTGGTGAAATGTCAATGTCCATATATTAGGGATGTCCATTGTCCATGAACTTGTCCCAAGTTTGAAACTAATGTATTCATATCTTTTGTATAAGTTGTCCCTCTACAAACCAACTTTTAGTCATTATACAAGAGTTGGATTTGCATTCATTTGCTTCGCAAGTCGCAACAAACTGAACAAAGTACTATTCCATAAACCTGTGCAAATAATGATCGAGCGTCTTTGGCGACATATATCCAAGTCTTTTAACGTCTCATTGGAACAAATCTCACTGAGTTTTTTCTACAGAAAGTATTGATCCATTTGATCAATCGCCGTACTTTGAGAAAAGCTTGAAGTGCAAAATTCACAAGGAAGATTGAAGAATTTCGGAGATAAAAACTGTTTGTCTTCGAGTTTCACCTATTCACCCCCCGGTTGAGAAAAGTAACAATTATGTAATGTTGGAGTCACGTGACCAGCGTTTATCAGGGCTATGTCGCCGCTTTCAATTCGCGACTAGCCCTGGGTACGAGGTTGACTCTCGGTCTGCAGTCAAAGTGTCAAAGGTCGGTAAACATAAAACATTTGGCTCTAGCGAAACTAATGCTCAAGTTATTGATGTGGTGAATCTTGGAATAGAAACTGCCTATGGAGCAAATATTGAAATGTTAGCATTTAATGTGCCATTAATTTGTCAGCCATTAAAGAACCAATTCGTGTCAAATGCTAGCAAGACCTACCCTCATCTCGCCAACCTCCACCTAGCTGATTACTCATCTGGGCAACACGATGCGAAAGTGGATATCCTGATCGGTTCAGATCATTACTGGAAGATCGTGACCGGGAAAACCAGACAAGGAGATAGTGGTCCGACTGCCATTCAAACGAGGCTTGGTTGGGTTCTCTCTGGGCCTGTTGGAAACGAACCGCGGCAATTAACCCACACCAGCAATCTTGCTACAATCCACACCCTCAAATGTGCCTCCGAAGAAGTTGAGTGTAAGAATGATGTACTTGTACAAGAACTGAAGAGATTTTGGGACTTAGAAACTCTCGGTATTCAACCACAGTGTGTGTACGAAGAATTCCTAGAAAGTATTAAGTATGAAAATAATCATTATGTGGTCAATTTGCCATGGAAACCTGATCATGCTGAACTGCCTGATAACTATGATCTTAGCAAGAAACGTCTATTAGGGTTGCTGAAGCGACTGCGTAATGAGCCAGAAGTCCTTAAGGAATATGACAATGTGATAAGAGATCAGCTTAACAAAGGAATCGTGGAGTCTGTGCCCGAACCAAATGAAGGAGCCAAGAGAGTGCACTATTTACCTCATCACGCAGTTATCCGTCAGGATAAGGCAACAACCAAATTGCGAGTAGTGTACGACGCCTCGGCGAAGTCAAGAGGACCTTCGCTTAATGACTGTCTGTATAGTGGTCCCTCGCTGACTCAGAACATTGTTGACATCATCCTAAGGTTCGGTGCATACAAGGTGGCCTTAACGGGAGATATCGAGAAGGCCTTTCTCATGATTCATGTAGCAGAGTCTGATAGGGATGCATTGAGATTTCTGTGGTTCGATGATATACACAGCCCAAACCCTAAGATTATCCCAATTCGATTCACCAGAGTAGTGTTTGGCGTGTCCTCCAGTCCTTTTCTACTAAACGCCACAGTCAAACACCACATCGAGCAATACCTGGAAGATGACCCTAGTTTCGTGGAAGCTGTTCTGAATTCGATCTATGTGGATGATCTTATTTCCGGAGGTGAAAATGTGGACAATGCATTCAAACTCTATGAAGATTCAAGGAGCCGATTGGCAAAGGCTAACTTCAATTTGCGAAAGATTACCACGAACTCTAAAGAACTCCAAGAGCGTATATGCCAAACCAACCAACTAGTGACAGTGAACAATGCATCTGACGGAAGTAACATGGCCAGAGCTGATCGCAACAAGTCCCAGCAGTTGGTTCAGGAGGAGCAGCCATCTTACACCGGAAGTACGTTGGGTCCTCCCCTTCCAGCAAGCGATGACAAGCAGAAAATTCTGGGAATCTTATGGGATTCTTACGAGGACAATCTTATTATTGATATCAAGGATGTTGAAGATTTGGCGCAGATAGTTCAAGCTGCGAAGAGAAATATGATCAGTGTTTCTTCCAAGATTTATGATCCTATGGGGTTTATATCCCCATTGACAATCAATTTCAAGCTGTTGTTTCAAGAACTTTGTCTGGCGAAGGGTGACTGGGACCATCCACTTGAAGGAACACTGAAATGCAATTGGCAGAAATTAGTTGATAACCTAAAGGACGTCCAACCTGTTGTTATTCCGAGATGCTATATTTCTGACATACACGAGCAAGTTGTATCCTACCAGTTTCACGGGTTTTGCGATGCCTCTATCAAAGCATATGCTGCCGTAATATACCTCAGAATCATCACACCAAATGCCTCTTATGTCCAGTTGGTGATATCGAAGGCAAGAGTGGCACCCTTGACTAAACAAACGATCCCAAGGTTGGAGTTACTGTCAGCGCTCGTGCTTGCCAGATTAATGAACGTTACTCAGAAAGCCCTGAAGTCTGTGATTGAAATCTCGAAGGTGCAATGCTGGACGAATTCTAAGGTTGCATTATATTGGATTACGCAGCAAGAGAAGGAATGGAAACAATACGTACAGAGTCGAGTGGAGGAGATTAGAGCGCTGGTTCCTGTAGAGTATTGGAGTCACTGCCCAGGTGTAGAAAACCCCGCAGACATTCCGTCACGTGATATCCTGCCTACTCAACTAGCATCATCTACATTGTGGTGGTCTGGCCCAAAATGGTTGTCCGCCACAGAGATCCCTGCTAAAGAGAACATTGATAACGATGTTGTACCTGAAGAGTGTCGAATTGAGATGAAGGTCAAGGACCAGAGAGCTTTAGACAAAGAGACACTTTCAACGATGATAGTGCATGGATCGAAAGATTCCATAAGCAATGTTATTAACTGTAAGGACTACAGTAGCCTGGGTCGTTTGCTAAGAGTAACGGCTGTTGTCTTGAAGTTCATCAAGCTACTAAAATCGAGAGTTAAACAGGAAGATCCTCCAACAAACTCGGAAGTTACAAGCACCGACATCGAATTAGCTCGAGTTCTATGGATCAAGGGACTGCAGGAAGAAATGAAGTTGAACGAGAAATTCAAATCCTGGAACCGAGACCTCGGCCTGTTCACTGATGAAAATGGAACCGTCCGATGTAAGGGACGACTATCTAACTCGAACTTGCCATATTCAGCGAAGTATCCAATCCTGTTAGATACGGCTCATTACCTTACCACGCTAATCGTACGGGATTGTCAGGAGCGGGTAATGCATGGGGGAGTAAAGGCAACATTGACAGAACTTCGATCGAAATTCTGGTTAGTCCGTGGAAGGAACTTTGTAAGAAAACTCCTCTTCAATTGTGTCACCTGCAAGAAGCAAGATGGTAGAGCATGCAAGGCACTTAACTCTCCGCCATTGCCGGAGTTTAGAGTAAAGGAAGCATCACCGTTTACATACGTTGGCTTAGACTACGTCGGTCCTTTATATGTGAAATCTACGAACGATTTAGACGAGAAAGCATCGATTTATTTGATTACCTGCTGTGTTTCTAGAGCGGTACACCTTGAAGTTGTTCCCAACATAACATCACAAGCCTTCCTGAGGAGTTTTAGGAGATTTACGTCACGACGTTCGACGCCATTGCTTGTCGTTTCGGACAACGCGAAAACCTTTAAGGCTGCGTCCAAAGAGTTAATGACACTCATGCATGATCCTCAAGTGAAGAAATATTTCTTGCAGCAACGAATGCAGTGGTCGTTAAAGCCCCGTGGTGGGGAGGTTTCTTTGAGCGGCTTGTGGGATCATTGAAACGATGTTTGAAGAAAACCATCGGAAAGGCAAGATTGTCTTATGACGAGCTAGTTACAGCTGTCACGGAAGCAGAATCGATCCTGAACAGTCGACCCTTGTCCTATGTATCCTCCGAGGACGTCGAGGAACCCCTCACCCCAGCCCATCTTCTGAGCGGAAGACGGATCCTGAGTTTATCTGATCGTCATCAAGAGAACCCTGAAGATGAAGATTTTCAAGTCGACCTATCGACGAATGACCTCAACAAACGAGTTCGCTATCTAAATGACATTATTGAACACTTTTGGCGAAGATGGCGGAACGAGTATTTGGTAGAGCTGAGAAATGCACATAAGAGTCCTAAGAAAACAGTAGAGAAATCTTCTGTGGAAGTTGGAGATATAGTACTAGTTCACGACGAGAACCATCCGCGTAGTTTCTGGAGAATTGGAAGAATAAAGGAACTTGTCAATAGCACGGCTGATGGGAAATCGAGAGGTGCAGTTGTACAAATCATGAGCAAGAAAGGGAAAGTTACTACATTAAGGCGTCCATTACAGCTGTTATATCCTATGGAGATTAACTGTAAACTTGCGAAAGAAGAAGTACAATTGGAACAAGAGAATCGTGCTCAGGAGTCAACTGAATCCGAAAGACCAAGAAGAAGAGCGGCGATCGAAGGTGAACTGTTGATAAGACATTGGATTAAGGACATGAAGCAGGTTTAGGGTAGTTGTAGATATACTGCATAGTGTTATATAATTAAGAACATTCCAATGAAGCTTCACGAACAGTCGTAAGGTGTTGGCCATATAAGATACATGTCCAACAGGGGGAGTGTGACATATGCTTGTGTTTTGTTGGTATTAATGCCCAGGCATTATTTGAAGAATAATCCAACTTAAAATCCAGCTTCTTTCGACTTGTATAATGCCGCTGTGAGTCATCAATATTTAAATCAACTTTAAGTCTTTAATCTTTATCGTATATACCCCTATACTGTGTCGTAACTGTAATTGAAATTTTAGAAGTTTCACCAAACGATACTTCGTAACTGTAAGCAAACAACCTATCTATCAGTCTCAATAGAAACTTTAAAAGGCTTAATACTAACTCATTAAGTAATTCTATGAGCGAGACTTGGTGCGCATATACAGTTTATAAATTATGTATATATAAATATATATCCCTGATAAAACGTATAGGGACACTTCGTACCAGATATAATAACAAATACTTTGCTAAATCTTTTCGGATATCATTCCTTTGCATTCAGGGTGGGAGGGTGAATGGCGATAGCTATAATTTATTATAGGAGATTCTGTGCAATATTTTGGCTCAACAAACAGGTAGTCGTGAAGACAAAAAAGTGCACTGTCGAGTGTCGATTCCAAACAATTTTGTCAGTCGCTTTTGATAGCTCTATTTTACAAAATTTATACCGTTTCCTTTCTATATGACAACAATTCAATGGCATATTATAAGAATATTGTAAATATCTGAACCAGAGGCAGAGCCAGGACAGAAACGTACGTAAGAAATGAAAATATTGCGCCCGAACCCTGAGAGAATATTAAAAACGCAAATATTTCAAACCATACGGTCATACGTTTTCGTTGCTTGATTTGCTGACTTGTCTGTTACTACAAGAATCTGCATTTTACCATGTTTGTATAACTTAAAACGGCAAACAGAAACCAATTTAGCAAGAATTTTGAAGAATATATGATTCTCAAAGATTATTGTACAGCACGGCCACTCCTTGCAATCGAAGTGTGAAGTGCGGAAGTGCAAACATGTAATATGAGACCTTTCCATCCCCCTCTGAGGCTATCAATTTTCTATGGGTCACGTGACCAGCGTCCACCAGGGTCTTTGCTTCCCAAGAGCAAATACCCTGGGAACGAGGTTGGGTGGGCTTTCCTGCAGGCCCTTAATCCTCCCCGGAGCCCGCCAAAATCCTGCCCTCTGCAAATCAGGCCTCCCATAAATTTGAGGGCCTGCCACGCAGGCTAGTTATTGCTGTATTGTTGCGATCCTCATTATGACTTGTGTTTTACTACACCAAGTTTCCCTTATATTAAATTGCATGGGAGGTGCTGCCATTTTAGCTTTATAAATAGTCCGTCTATCAGAGTCGCCCAAATCGCCCACGCTGTACCATTCAAGTGCATCGGTGCTGCTCATGTGAAAAACTACCAACATTATTTGGAAAATTAAGGCATACCTCATGAGCACTTCATGAACGAGATAAACCAGTGACTGTAAGAATACGGCCAGCGCCATTGAATTCAAGGGACTCCAGTACAATAGGCAATTCCAGCTTTTAGTTTATGCGTGTAGGGGAGGATTTGGATGAAAGGTATCATATTGCTGATAATGCTGAATAAATAAAAATGATGGTCATGTAAACATGGCGTGTTAGCTTATACTTGTAAATATTGAAATATTTCGGTTGTTTCGGCAGTATATTAAAATATTTCGGCATAATCAGCAATATGATACCTTACTTCCCGTCACACTCTACACGCATAAATTAAAATCTGGTAGCCTTCTGAACTATGCTTGTGTTTGCACCTACTAATTGCTGCAGGAGATGTCGTGGATGTTTATCTTCAGTATATCAAATATAGAGTTGACTTTTCTAAAATAGGATTTTATCCAAACATTTTTATAAAGATACCTGGTGAGTGGGAGACTCAAGTGGTAGGAAAAAGCATGAGTGTACGTAGACAGATGTTTCTTTATATAAATAATAGCAACGTAATGTTTAGCAAGTTATTAGTGCATTAATTTATTTCAATAATTTACTTACTTTTGATTCGTGTACCGCGAGTAGTTTAGAGATATGGTATGTAATTGCTATTCATTTGATGAGCGAAATTTTGCGATGTTTATTCTGTAAACTTAAACATTGATTATTATGCGCTGATTTCCTCATTCCCATGGCGCTAATGAGTTTAACCTTGTTTTGCGCCGATATTATAATACTATCGCATTCGGACGTGCTTTACTGCTGTGTAAACATAGAGCTTTCACGAGCATCATTCATGATATTCATAGAGAATTTATAGCTACATTGTATGGTATGTCATGACTAGCCTCACACTACACCGACTTCCAGTACCGCTCAGAATTAACCTAACACTGTGGTTGCGGTCGTTTTGCGGTTAGCCTGCGGTTAACGTGCGGTTATCGGGCGTTTTTTTTGCGGTTTAGCCCACGCATCGGCAAAAAGCTAACCGCGGTTTTAATATGCATTCTGATTCCGAGGTTTTCCGACCAAAAGCAGTAAAATATTAACAGTATAGAATGTCTTCACCAATAAAATGCTAACTCGGGCTATAATATAACAGTTAAGAGAAAGCTTAAAGGCTGTGGTGTCAGCTTCAATTATATAATAAGGGCTACAGCAGATCGTCGATTATAATAAAGTTTTATAATAAAGGCTAGATTGTCAATTATAATAAAGTTTTATAATGAAGGTTCCAGGTTATAACGCGTACACGTGTGCCTATAAAAGGCCGAGATTTTATTTACCTTTTAGGTACACGCGTTATAACCTTTAGCCTTTATTATATTTAAAGAGTTAAGTTAATTTAAGTTGATGCGCGCGCCAAATTCTTACTTATTCTAAAACATCTATTTAAATTGTAATAAACAAGAAGAGACCTAGGCTACATATTTGCCTTTACCCTTCGTTTAAACTTTTAGTTATTCCAACAACTGAAGTATTTCACGATTTATTCTGTGTTGGTGTAATGTAAACAGGTGAATATAATGCTTTTGATGTTACACGGTGATCAGGCATATTTATCAAGCTTGTCCGGTGTGGATATAGCCTACATTCAGAGTAACATCACAAGCATCAACTGAAGTATTTGTCGAAAGTAAGGAGAAAATTCGCTCCCTGGCATAAAGCGACAGCCTCCCCATGCCTCAATGTTTACAAAATATGTCATTATTTATAAAGCACACACGAAGTTTTTATAATGACCCCCTTCGGAAATGCACGAATATTTACGAATGCTATTACGAGTATATACGAAGATTGCGGATCGGTTCGGTTCGGTTGCGGTCAAACCTCGTTTAAACCTCACGGTCACCGCGGTTTAACCTCAAAATTACCGCGGTATAACCTCGGTCAAACCTTTAAATCACCGCGGTCAAACCGAGGTTCAACCGAGGTTAAACCGCGGTTTTTGTTAGGTTAATTCTGAGCGGTAGTATAGTCCTTCCTGTATTCATATGCTGTATTATACATGATCGTTTGCTTTTGACAACTTGAATCGACATACAACTACCATGAAGCACGGAACCATATAGAAAAAAATTGCCACGATTACAACACAACTTATTTGCATTCACGTCATTACAATTTCTCACGCCCAAAGACATTAGATCAAAACAAACCACTTGACTGACATACGTCACAACATCAACACCTTCATATATTTGATACTTCATGTAATACAATAGTAAATAAACACCAATCGTATTACCAATGAGTGTCAACATATACTATCTCAAATGTTTACAAGTCAGATTGCAGGAATGAATTTCAAGTTCATAATTTACTGTCTTGAGACGGAACATAGCAATTGTGGATCCAAAAAAATCGATTCTCTATATGTATATCATATAGAATTATCACTTATTTTAAATAAGTTATGGTATATAAAGAGAACTTAGAAATATGGCCTATTGTGGTTTTGGCAACATCTCAAAGATTATTAACAACCCATTTGGGCAATTTTTACTCGTCTAGGCCTAGGGAAGAGTCTTGCCACAAGTAAAATCATCTGAAGTTAGCCAGAGCAAAAGAAAAGATTGGGCACATTGCAATAAAATTGGTTCATATATAGTCATATTTGAGATCATTATTATGCACATTGAATATTTTTGACCACATTCAAAACAGCAGCATGTTGAATATTATGCGAAATCAGGCTGCACTTGTGTAATATTGTTAATCATGTATTAAGTCATGTAACTTAACAATTGTAAGGATTGGTCTAACTATTGGTCGTTGAGTAAGCTTTCGACTAACAATTCTGTTCAATGATATTATACAGGTAAAAATGATATACACATACTTTTTTATTGTTTCAATACTTTCATCTTCTCTTAACTTTCGCCAACTAAATGCTGGGCTGAATTACGATCCAAAGAAAATCAAAATATACGGTCTTGTTCGCATTTAACAAACACTTCCAGTGTTCACAGAATTTGTCGTCTAGTCAAGCTTTCATCTTTCGACCAAATCCTTGATCATGTCGACATCCATGTCATGTTCAATGATATTAATATTTTACGAGGACAAATGCATCTTCATTGATATTAAACGAGGACAATTGAAGTATTGAGCTGTATCAGTAATACAAATTTTTGCGTCGTACTTTAATAATAAACGAAATGAACTTTGTTTTTTCCTATTAATTTCCGTATTACAACAAAAAACTATGCTTTGATGTCAATGGATTGAATTTTTTCCACTTTTTATCAGTGTTACTGCGGTATCAATTTTTTGACGTTTGATAACACGAAGTATATATACATTATATATATATATATATATATATATATATATATATATATATATATATATATATATATATATATACTTCGTGTTATCAAACGTAATTTAATTAAAACATCTGGGGTGTGACGAGACATACAACAATATTAACACAACATTCCATGATTCGAGTGAATGCCCTACGTCGTCAAGAGATTACCGTATAATATGACACATTGTGACAACGTTAATTGAAATAGACTGTATAAAGGGAAACCCGTCTTCTCAAGGTATCATTCCATTTGAAAAGAAACTGAATTGATTGGAGGAGACCCACAGATTACGAGCGTATTTCGATGTGACCGCTAAGAGCTTTGTCTTAATACTCCACTAGTCTATATGATACTATTTCAAAAGCTATCAAAAGCAAATACGCTCATAGACATAATAGTGATTCTGAAACATGGAGGCTAGTGCATGCATGCATGCAAACGACCATAACCTTTGCTGGCTTATTATATCCGCTTTCAAAGAAGATATACAGTCACATTAAACACTGAGCAAATCATTCGGACATTTACAAAACAAATTAACTGAATTGCTTATTATTCTTTTAGACAAATCTGTGTGCCAGTGTCCCCGCCAATTACACTTTACAACAGCCGAAAACGTTGGTATATGCCGCACTGGAAAGTAGGCCACTTTAGCCCGAGATCTCATGCGTAGCTATTTGTGATACTATATTACTAATAAACGTCGGTTATTGCGGCAGTTCTCCTGGGGCAGCTTGTTGGTGCTTTCCATCTTTGATGTGTACACAGCAAATCAGTAAATGACTGCCGACTTCAAGCTGCAGCTTCGTTGGACAGAACTCCAGTTGAACTAGGGCTACATGGATAACATAACAATCCCGGGGGGCTTTGTTATTATTTAACTACAATAACAGTCTTCATTGAATGTCTGGGCATGCCTTGATTATTAGCTAACAAATCAAATATACTTCTTACCGTTTCCACAGACAAAACCTGAGGTTGGACAGAAATTGAATAGCAGTTATACTGATAGGTGTACGTGGTATTATTGCAGTGTTGAATTAATGTCTATGACTTCTCTCCCCTCGGCCTAATCACATTCGATATTTCGACGACTCGCACAAACGACGAACCGCTTTCTGACCCATGCACTTATGTCATATATATGCTGTAATACAGTCTCAGTAAATTCATGCATGTCGAACCCCATGAGCGATGATCAGAATCAACTTTGTAGTTGGTTCTTATTGGCCACAACCGAATTTAATCGATTCTGTGGTTGGCAGAATGCCAGTTACATTGATAGGTGCAATGCAGGCGGTATGTGTTACGACCGCAAAGCAACTTGGGAATTGATGTAGTGTAAAATATTTCCGTTCATTGTATTTTCGCCGTGATCGAGTAAAAATCGCATGCATATTCATGATATTAAAAATTTGCTGCAAGATTTGAAAGTAGGGACGGTGAAAGAAATATCAACAAGTTTTTGTATGGAACTCTGGCAACATGCTGGTTATATAGCATCGTTGCGAATGACTGCATGCCGATACCATGGATAATAAAATAAATGGATAGGACACTAGCTGACGTAAGCAAAAACAACCTAGTTGCAATCTGCGACGTCAAGCGTATTGCAAAGTTCTCGGCATTTTTGTTGTTTCGCTATACTTTCCGCTTTAAAAGAGTAATATTGAAGCATAAACTGGTCTAATTGTTTTAAAAACATGCCTAAGCCACGACAAAGTATTCAAGGTAAAAGTTTTTCGTCTTTGTTTTGTATTTTTTTACATTTGTAGCTACTAAATTGGCGTCCCCAATTTTAACGAAATTTGCGATGCATTTTTCACTGTTTAGTGCTTGAAATATTTGCTAAAATTGACTGGGAATACTTAGACATTTAATCGTAGAATATCGTAGTCATATTTATTTGCTCGTTGACTAAAATGTTTAGCTGTATTATTGCTAAACATGCCGTTTTTGAGAATTTGGGTTGCAACTAGGTTTCAACATCCAACCACGCCATCAGCCCAATGAAAACATTAGGTCACGTCAGCTAGTTTCCTATCCATTTATTTTATTATCCATGCCGATACCGGGCACCAAACTTTGTCCTCAAATGTCTTCGAGTTTCTCCAATATAAAGCATGCCACATCTACTGCAAGGGATGCAGTAGATGAGATGGGAGGAGGTGCACGTGAAATTGTGCTTGACATGGTATTGAGATTTTGGTGCCGAAATGGTGGTGGCAGAATCTATATATAAAAATCACAGGTTTTGCATTTGGCAGGCCGGCAGAAAAACTATGGTTTTGATGACGTCAGGAGTTAAAATATAAAACTACTCTAAAATGACCGAGTAACAATCCAAAATTGTTTCAAATGTTTTTAGTCATTTCTAAATTTCACACAGCAAACCTGGAACGAAGCTTTAGACTCATATTGATGACTTACTCTCAAGACTCTCTCCTCCGCAGAGGCTTTAATTTTCTTAGGATTTAATATTACGATCAGATACATTTCACTACACTTTACATGGCGGATCTTGGACCACGAGCGTATCCGCTGGGCGAAGGAGCGCCGGCGGCAAAGGGAAAGGCGAGGGAAGGCGCGAAGCCTCGATCTGCACGATTTGCATCGTAAAGTGGGACAAAGTGTAAACATTGAAACAAAAGGTGATTTTTAAGCTAAACAAGAACGTCTTTTTGAAAATCATTATTTAATGCATGATTGATTGACCTCATTGACTACTGCTTGCATGTTTGTGGATGGTCAAAAGTAATATTTTTTAACATTTAATACACAAAGCAAAGTAGCAAACAATCGTATATTTTACTCACCGCTTAGCCAAACATTCCGTATTTCGTATCGAGAAAAAACTTGAATATTTCTTGAACTCTTCGGAATTCGCCACCAGTCAAAGAAGTAAAATACTCCTTGTATTCAAGCGCTTTCGTGTTGAAAATCTCTTTTGAATACGGCCAGTAAAAATATTTATTTTTAACTTTCAAAATATCGGGTTTTTACTCGCACAGTCGCACGCGCCTGTAGGCCGTTGGATGAGGGTCGAAAATGTTCAATTCCGTAGCACCCCTCGTGTAACTACATAATTTTTACATGAATCTATAGATTATAACTTACTTAGTTAGAATTCACTTCCCCCCAAGCGAAATAGTTGCACAAATTGAAGTATAAGCTCTTCAAAGTTCACGCTTCCTCGTGTTTCGGAATCCATGAGCCGCCATTGTTGTGTTGCAAATACGCGTGCGCTTGAGCACAAAACACGTAATGCGCACGCGCAGATAAGAAAAACTGATCTCAATCTAGGACTGGACAAGAAAAAATTATGAAATGTGCGAAAGCAGGGCTGAAGTAAAACAAGATGACATCGGAATATCTTAAAAATATATGATATTTTTATGTTCTGTGCATTTTAATGTAGTTTACCAAACATTCTGAGCAATGTACCGTATCGAGCCCTCGCCAGGAACACTTCCAAGCCAACATTACAATAATAACTTATTTAAAATATTAATTAAAATATGATGTTATTTTATACTACAGCAATTGCATAACGTTTGCAAGCAAATTTGTTTTTCAGGCTTTAAATATTATCACAATCCTAAGCATTCAGGGCCGTACACAGCAGGGGAGGCAATATCATTATTAATTATTCATTGCATATTTGTGACGTTTTTCGGCATATTATTATTATTAGTTTAATAAAATCCATTTTGCAGCTAAAGCTGAATTGCATGGAAAGGATATTTACAATATTAAATATTAAAATTTACGTTAACAATGTTATATACTTATTATTAACTACCTATTATAAAAATGTATTAATAAAATGTTAACTATATTTAATGGTAAAAAAGTTCTTTAACCGTTCAGACATAATCGGTAAGAGTTGCGGATTATTATTACGCAGATCATAATTATGAGTTCGGTCTGGTAGACCGGATTTAACTATTGCAGTTAATTAAAGGGTTGTGTGGCGAATCTTGGTCTCGAAGCGAGTTAATTAATTTCCTACATGCTTCTTCTCTTCTTGTACTCAGTAGTTTAATGTTACTTTTGTGTAATGCTTCATCATAAGATAGATGGGGATACGCGATTTTTAAAGCTCTTTTTTGCACCGACTCAATAAGGTCTGATAATGTCTTTGGAAGAGCGGACCAAACTGGTGATGCATACTCCAACTGGGATCTTATAACTGCACAATAAATATGAACAATGTTTAAAGGGCTCAATCCAGCTTTCTTTAATAGGCATAAAGCATAGATGCGTGAATTCGCTTTCTTTAAAATTTTATCTACGTGTATATCCCACTAAAGATTGTTAGTCAACCACACGCCTAGTAGTTTAAAACTGGAGACTCTCTCCACCACATCGCCGCCTATAAAATGTCATTTTCTACCAGTTTATACTTAAGAAACGTAATAACCATATCTTTGCATTTCTTTGGATTTAGTCTCATTCCTCGTTCGTTTGCATAATCGGATATTTGGTCCACGATAATTGGTAGGAAGCTGGGTGAACATCGTGGAATTATTTCCAAGACCGTAGTATCGTCGACAAATTTGACTCTCCCAGGCCAATCCTTGAGCAAAGAATTTACAAGGACTGCAAAAAGTAGCGGTCCTAGTTTTGTTCCTTGTGGTAGACCACCGTTTGTTTTCTTCCACGACGAGTATGAGTTTTCAATTCGCAAACACTGTTCACGGTTGCTAAGAAAAGCTTTTATCCACCTCACTATGGCAGGATGTACACCAAGATTTTCCAGCTCGCATATTATGACATTACGATCAACAAGATCGAACCCCTTTTTAAAGTCTGCAAAAAACAATCTAGCGGAGCAGGAAGTGTTCTCAAGGGAAGACAAAATGGTGTGCAGGAGGTATGTTAGGGCGTGAGTCGTAGATTTCCCTGGTAACGCAAACTGCTTCGTGTCCAATTTCCTCTCAATTTGGGCAAATAATTTTGTCAAGGTGAACCCCTTCATGACCTTAGAAATTTGGGACGTTAATGATATGGGTCTTAGATCGTCCTCCACGCTTTGAGGTAGTGAGACTTTAGGGATTGGAACTACAACAGACCGTTTGAGGTTCATCGGAAACACGCCCTGAATAATAGACGAATTGTAAATGTCCATAATCACTGGAGCAAGTTCATATGCAAAGACTTTCAAAATTTTGTTAGGTATCATATCTGGACCAGGGCTTTTATTGGTTTTAATTTTGCGGAGTTCATTGTACACTTTATTAGCGTCGATGAGGTATTCACCTGGTACATTGAAATCCAATTGTTCTTCCTCGCGTGTTAAAGGAGTAAAATGTGATGTAAGACGGGAAAGGAAACAGTTAAATACTTCAGCCAAGTCATGGCAATTAGGAATATCATTAGAAAGTAGTTGATTATACCAACAACTTTTGGAAGATATGCCACCCAACGACTTAATTTGTTTCCACCATCTTGAGGGATTGGAATTTTTTAGTTTCTCAACTGATTGGGCATAATACTTAAATCGGGCCGATTTAATTGATTGCTGGACTTGGTTTCGCCAGAGTTTATACGCATCAGAATTTTTCCCATAATAATGGAGAGCTTTTTGACGTTTTATAATTAACTCTTTTATTGATGACGTCAGCCATGGTTTGTCACATTTAGTTACTTTAGTTCTTTTCAAAGGGAGTACAATATCAATCATATCACTCATTATGTCATTAAATTTTCCATATTTATCTTCGCATGCACGCATTTGTAGTAAAAATATCTGACCAATCAAATGAAGTTATCCAGCGGCGAAAAGGTTGTAACGAGCTTTCCCTAAGGTCCCGCTTCCAACCTTGACTTTATCAGGTTTTAAAGGGGGATTTAGGGATTTTAAACAAACCATGTTATGATCACTGTTTCCTAGAGGTGGAAATTTGATAGGATCGTATAGGCTATTATTGCGGTTAGTTAGGCACCAGTCTAAGGTTACATTATCTCTAGTATGCACCTTAATTATTTGGAAAAGGCCAATTGATCTTTGGATATATTTTGCGTTGAAACCAGTACTCCTATAATTGAAGTCTTCTGTGATTAAAACAAGGGCATCAGGATGTGATTGCATGAAAGTATCAAC